TTTTGCCACGGTCGGTCCGGAACATAATGCAGCATCTTCGGTTCCTTCGTTTGCCGAATGTCGTGTGAACGGCACGCCTCACAGTTAGACGCATGATCCTTGATCTGACCTGTCATTCCTGGCCAGAACATCAGTTCTCGTGCTCGATTAATGGTGTAATTTGCACCCAGGTGAGCGCGATGGACATGTTCCAGCATCTCCTTTCGGAGAGAAGAAGGGATTAGGATTCGGCTTCCCTTGAACAACAGACCGTCACAGACAGTGAGTTCGTCCAGAAAATTAAAGTAGGGTGTTAATTCCTTCAGGAGCTGTTTCTTTGTTTCTGGCCACCCATTGAGGATAACGTCTCGCAAAGCTGCAAAAGTTTGGTCTTCCTCCGTGAAACGCCTTATGTCTTTCAAACGGTTTTCTGTCACTGCCAGATGCTACATCATGCTAACTGTCTCGATCTCTTCTAGAGGATGTTCGGCCACTGGCGGATGTGCTCTCGACAGGGTGTCCGCGATGAACATCTGTGTGCCAGGTGTGTACACAAAGTCAATGTCATACTTTTGGAGCCGGATAAGCATACGCTGCAGACGGCGAGGAACGTTATTCAGTGGTTTAGTGGCTATCGACACCAGCGGCTTATGATCAGTGTACACGGTTGTCTTTCTTCCAAAAGTATAATCATTGAAACACTCCATGGCATAGACCACTGCCAGCATCTCTTTCTCGATCTGTGCATACCGCCTCTCGGCCTCTGTGAGTGCTCGACTGCGGAAATCCAAAGGTCTTCCGTTCTGCAACAGAACAGCACCTATTCCACTCTGGCTACTATCACACTGTACCTCCAATGGTTGTGCTGGATCGTAATATCCGAGTACGGGCGCATTACTGATAAGGTTCTTAATGGTTGCGAAAGCCAAATCCTGTTCCTTCCCCCAGCTCCAATCTACTCCTTTGTGAGTTAACTGCCTAATCGAAGTCATGACATCAGCGAGTCCTGGTAGGAACCGGCTTAAATAATTCACCATACCGTTTAGGCGATGGACTGCCTTCACATCGTTAGGGGACGGCAGCTCTTGTATCGCCGTAATCTTCCCTGGGTCAACACTGATTCCGTCGGATGTTAACACATGCCCATGGAAAATCACCTCCTCTTTCCGCAGCTCTACTTTCTCGCGTTTTAGCTTGATGTTCTTTTGCACGCAACGCCTCAGGAACCGGTGTAGCTTAGTGTCATGCTCTTCTTCGGTAGAACCGTAAATCAGAACGTCATCTGCCACACAGGTTACGCCATCTAAATCATCTATTGCTTGCACCAAACGCTTTTGGAAAATTTCGCTAGACACCTTCAGGCCAAACGGTAATCGCAGCCAACGATAACGTCCGAACGGTGTAGCAAATGTGGGGAGGAAACTGGATTCGTCGTCTAGAACAACGTGCCAGAATGCGGAAAAAAGGTCTACTTTCGTTAAAAACTTAGCTTTTGTCAAACGTGGTAAAACTTCTTCTAACGTCGGTAGCGCATAATGTTCACTACGCAGGGCCTCATTCAGTGGCTTCGGGTCTATACATACGCGTAGTTCGCCATTTTTCTTCGTGATGATTGCGACCTGGCTAACCCAGTTTGTTGGCTCATCAACCTTTGCAATCACACCCTGCATAACCAGCTTGTTCAATTCCGCGGAAAATCGGTCACGTAGCGCAAATGGGACTCTCCTAGCAGGTAACGCAATCGGGCGTACCAAAGGATCTAACGACAGGTGAGCGGTACCCTCAAATTCCCCTAAACCCGGGCTGAACACAGACGGATACAGGTCACTAACATCGGCTTCACTCTGACAAGCGTACACAAGACGATCATGGTTAAAAATGACAAAGCCAAGAGATAAAATCGAATCAATGCCGAGAATCGGCGTGAGATCCTCATCCACGATCACGAACTGCAGACGATGCGAAACACCGTCTCTCGGGTTGACCACTTCAATTGTCGCTGAGCCCTTTGGCTTGAGTCTGGAACCATTCCACATGCGTAAATAATCTTGATCCGATTGAATTTGTACGCCGCGGCAGTGCTTCCTGGGCAAAATATTGATCGTCGCGCCTGTGTCTAACTGGAATCGCACAGACCGTCCCTCGATCAGAAGACTTAAATAGACACACTTCTGCGACGCTTTCCGAGACACGTTACCAATCGATTGTTCGTTGTCTTCTGTTGATTTGTCTGGAACGAGTGCACTGACATCTGTCGACTGACAGCAGCCGGCGAAGTGATTGCGCTTCCCACATTTGACACAAATGCGGCCCCACGCCGGACACTGTTCGCGGTTCCTCGGATGTCGTGTTGCACAGAAGTTGCAGGGCTCCTGTCGTGCGGTCGTGGCCCTCGTAGTTTTGCTCCTGGAAACGGCGCACAACTCTGAACCACCTGTGATTGTCCACTGCTGGAACTGATAGGCAGTGGAGGACTCACTGTTACAGATGTCGATACACTGCTGCAGAGATAGGTTGCGCTTTCGTAATAGTCGCTTCGTCAAACCTTCGTCATTGATCCCAAGAACAATGCGGTCCCGTATGAGACTGTCCGTCATGCATTTACAGAAACTGCAGGATCGGGCCAAAATCTTTAGCTCAGTGACGTACGTGTCAACGGATTCACCTGGCCGCCTGTTCCGCGAAAGGAAGAGATAGCGTTGAAATGTCTCGTTTGTTTGGCATTCGCAGTATTCAGTGAACTTCTCAAGAACTGTCTCCAGATTGTTGGCATCTTCGCTCTTGTCGCAACACAATGTCTCTAGCATGCGGCGCGCATCATCTCCTGCTGCGTGTCGAAACATGGCCAAGCGGTACGCCATCGGTTGTTTGTCCAGACGCGATAACGTGCAGAAATCCATCCATTTGCTCTTCCACAAACGCCAGTTTCTTGCCAAACTGCGTTCATCCATGTTCAGCGGGGCAGGCATTTGAATAGCCGGTGCAGCTCCAATCATCGTCTGGGTGGTACTAATGTTCTCCTTCTCTGACACCATGTAAAAAGTCGGTCCTTCAGGGACAAAACGTGTATTCTGCAAACAAAAGGACCAGGCGAAAACGCAGGCCCAGGGCGAGTGAAACATATCGGTATTTACAGCTAGTTGGATCCATAATTAACGACCTTTGTTGATGCATGACATTTTTTCCTTTGATTCCGTCAAACAAACTCACTCCAATGCGTCCAAATGTTGGCCAATCAGCGTGCATGGCAGAAACGTGTGAACGTCCAATCAGCTGCCGCCTTTCCTTGCGGCAGCCTAACGGCTTCCTTGCTGGACTGGCACCGCACGTTCGTTCGAGTGTATACTCCAATCACACTATGAGCATTACGACGCAGTTTCTGCACATGGTCAGAAGAAAACGTCCTCGTATATTCACCTCGTTCATTAGACCAATCCTTGAATATGGTGACCCGGCTTATCCTCCGATTACCCAGCGGGAAACTAAAAAGCTGGGGAAAATACAGCATACGGCAACTAGAATGATACCGAGTATACGAAAGCTTCCGTATGAAAAACGTGAAAGGCTCGGACTCTATACACTATCCTACCTCCGAGTAGGAATTGACCTTATTACGACCCATGGAGCACTACCCTTGAATCACTTCCCCATACTGCGGCTAATATTTCCCCTGCTGGAACCCTGTAACACCCGAGGACATCGTTACAAACTCAGGGTCCCAAACATGAACAAAGTATCACATCATCTTTGTACAGAACGAAGAATCGTAAACTTATGGAATACACTACCAGAAGGATTAATAGAGGTCAATTCTGTGAAGTGTTTTGAAACACGTGTTGACGATTATTTCGGAAACCTGCGCTCTTGTGAAACGATGCACATACAATGTCAAAAGAAGACATCGTATACCCGGAAATAATGATACCAATATGAATTCCTAACCGAACAAGGATAAACGATTAACTGACCAAACACAACCGCTGAGGAATCGCAACTAAATGTTTTTGCATAATTCGACATAGTTGTACAGAAACTTTTCTTCTTGCTCTTAAGTACAGTGTCAGCCTCCTTGGGCAGATCAATCCACCGCATTCCTTGTTGGCTCAATGACGATTTCGAATGTGGAACATTCACGGGATCTTCCTACCGTTCCGGTCCCAATCGAATTTGAACTTGAATAAGCGACCCAGACCTGGAGTCCCTGGCGTAAGCGTGAAGTTGATGCACTTGAAGATTCCAGAAGTAGAGTGAGCAAACTCGTTGAGGTGGTTGTTTCTCTCCCCTCTCTACACAGACTGCAAACCCTAAGATTGTCTATTGGTGAATACCGACCTCAGTGAAGGGACCTCATCATGATGTACTTAATAATAACGACCCCAAATCAAGCTTGTCAGGGCCTATTACAACGGAGCGGAAATACTACACTGAGAGGTCACTAGCTCAAAATTGCCATGCACTATGGCCGAATTGATTGCGGACAAAATGTATTCTCCCTTCGTGTGTCCCGAACGTCATCACTGCCGCTACACTAACGTTTATCAAAAAACGGCTTCATGACAAACCCGCCCAGTTGCTTTAGTTGATATAGTCCGTTGCACTCGAGGAGGAAAAAGCGCCAACCAAACCATGTGCTTAACGGCCCTCTCCGCAACGTGGCGATGAGGATACATGCACAAGTGTCCTTGTGAATAAGTTGGAGGTACTTAAACTGGATTAGCGTGTCACATCGGTTCATGGAAGCGGCACACGAGTGAGCGTCGTTAGTTGCGTTTTTTACCATTTCTCACGGAGTACGTCCACTATAACTCCATATTATTTTCTGTGTGCACATTCCACTCTCATTTCAAGCCGTCGATAAGGAGTATTGCAGTTAAATTGGTAGATGTCTGAAATGACGATCTACTACTTATCCTTGGATTCTTTTAGTTTTCACACATTAACTGTCCTAAAGGGCCTTGTCAAGCACCAGGTTTGTTAGTTAGACGACTTCATCACAAAGAAACTTGGTACGAAAATGGAGATTGGCTAGAAAAACCATTTATTCCATCAGGAGAGGCGATAGAAGTGAGTCATATGCAAGCTTGGCATCTGCATTGGCGGGAATAAAGTGTCCTCCCTCGTGCGCGTAAACAGTAGCTGGAGGATGGAACATTGGTAGAATGGCTTCTGTCATGCCTGATGAAGTAAAGGATGTAAAATATATAAGCATCCACGAGGAGCTAGAAAACAAACAATGGGTAAAAGTTGTTTTCAGGCCCTTAAGAAGTCGTGGGTACTTCATCGGTTTCAAGCACATTGGAATTAATCAATGAATTATACACAGTCGAATCTGGATTCGTGTGAAATGAGCATCAGAAATGCATGCACAAAATGATAAAATGTTCATCAAATATCATAGCATAACCGATGACTTGTATGTTACACCGTTATAAAACTCGCGCAACGCGAGTGTGGCTGCGGCAAGAGAACGTGGTTTCGACTGTAAAAATATGACGGATGCCGTACAATGCATGTTACATTGAGCAAACATTGACCGGGCGAATAATTTCCCAGGCTTAGTTCTTTTGTGAAGAGAAGATAACTAGCATCATGCACTGCCGTTTAAGAGAAGGGGCAGAGGCTAACAGAGGCTCTAAAAGTACCCAAACCAAGTTGTGGTGCACAAGAGTGCGCTTGCAAGTGCTAAACTGGAATTCGAGTGGCTGAGCTGTGGAGATAAATGCACAAAAGTGGAGTAGAACGCAGTGATTCGGGGGTAGATGTTACATAGGCCGACTTGCGGCATAAACGTTAGTCACGTAGCACAAAGGAGTGCGAGAGTAACTGAGCTCAATTGCTGTGATCAGCAGCAAAGAATTCAACCTGCGTCAACAACGAACGGGCTCTACTACAGGCCCGATGGGGTGCTTAGACTCAGCGCCGATGAGAGAGACAGAAAACAAATGGATACAAGAATTATACGAAGAGGTTCACTGGCAGAGGCGAGGAATTCAACGCGAAAGCCACGAACTTCGCAACTGCACTAAGGTAGGCGATCATAATAGACCCGACCAGGGAAATGGTATGCAACAGCTCTACCGCCTCACACCTCCCGACAAGCATCGCAATCTCATGGGTGTCTGTGACACAGAAATCAAGGTTAGCATTGCATAGCTCGCATACCCCCGCGAAATTTTTGCACAGTACGCCTGAGTTCACTTGGGAAATGATGCTACCATGCGGCGGCCCAAGCTGCACAGTGAACCAACTAAGTTCTTGTTAAATCTTCCCATTTGCTGCAGTTCTGAAACATGCACTCAACCTATTTCACACAATCGCAAGCCCAACCGAAAGAAAAAGTCAAAATGACCTTGTTGAAAATAACGTGTTAATCGCAGTCAAACTGGAACCGTACAAACGCGGCGCCACATGACCTTCAACTTGTAGAATTGGAAGGTCAACTGCCATAATTAGAAATGTCATACTGGTACAGCTCACCTTCAGGAGAATCTCAGTTACGTACAGGCGTTGGTACATTCTAGCAAATTCGATGAACCACAGAAGTAATGCTTTTTCCGGGAAATCCTGATTTTCTCCCAGATAGCTCCCCTCAAGACACCGATGCAGCTGTCGCCCCAGACAATAGTGATCTTAATTGAGTTCTCCTCCGGACGCTACCATAACATGATGATTTATGTGCCCTGCCATCATCCACCGTCCAACACAGCGTATGCACTACGCTGCTAAATAATGGGCTGTAAAAAGGAAGATGCAGAAAGTGCGAATTGTCTTTGCTTGAATCAACTAAGGAAATTCTACAATCGACCAGTTGAGGATTCGCTTTTAGATACAATAGATGCCGAAGTGCCACTTGGTATTCCTCTGTAACATGTGTACCAAAAGAACCACCCATTTGCACTCCGTTGTCCGGTGAACAGAAGCACGCCTTAGGGGGAAACGGGAGCGAACTAAATTGCCGACAATGCAATGGTGGATGTTGGTCTCGCAAAAGTTCCCTCACTCGGCCACAGAAGTGTGAAGGACTACATTAATGGCGGGATGCCAAGTCAGCGGGCATGCATCCTCGGTACTTGTGTACTGATGTTGGATGAACAAACAGACCAAGGTCGACATGAGTTGCCACACCGAGATTGGAATGCCACGCCAACAGGCCAGTATCGGCTATCGTTACAACGATGAATGGACAAACAGAACCCGCACGAAGTGATAAATGTAATCGCCGCATTCATTGGTCTTAGCACGATCATGCTTTTAACGAAATAACCGTGATCTCGGAAGACTAGTTGTAATTCTGAGGTTGCAAGTTAGATTGCCGGGCAATTTCCAATGCATTAGAGTCCGTTAGAGCCGCATTCGACTCGTCATTCGTCAGTAGTCGACGATGATGATCCGCCTGGATTCCAAGGCATTGCACATGTGACTGTGATGCAACGGAATAAGAATTCGTAAGTTGGGAGGATCCAGAGTACAAATCGGTTAGTGTGTTCATATTGTGGTAATGTTACGCTCTTTACGCAAGGGCTGGCCAGACGGAAGCCCCTGGCATCAAGAGTGAGAGGTTGTCGCAGTCCAAACTTACACGAAACCAATTCATATTCGAAAACTTCCAATCCTGATTCAATTTTAAGAAAAGAGGACAAGTCAAAGTCAAGTGAGCGTAGAAGGTGGTCGAGTTGATCTAAGAAATGTATGGAACGCGAGGTGTTTCGGTGTAGGTTTAAAAGAAGTTGCGGTTTATGTGTTAATGTGACGGATACGCATGGGAGATCTTTAACACCCGAGAAAAGAATTGACAGGAGAGGGAAAAGTAGAGAAAAAACATAACGATGAAACGAAAGTATATGTTGTCTCTTGTTTGCCGCTTGCCAAAGTAATTGTCAGGAGAGCAAAATCTCACAGGAAAACGCATTGCTTCAATGGGAAAACAAGTTGAGTCAACAAGAGACAGGAACATTCGTGTCCACATGACCCACATCATCAACCAATCTTCCTACTGGCTAGCGGAACTGATCTACGATTAAGGATAGCTGACCTAGCTGTTCCGATAACAAACCTTCCTTGGCTGACTTAAAAATGTTCGTTGACTTCACACTACTTGCATCATTTTCAGTAGCTAGTTCTTTAGCACACTTTTGCCTCCAAGCGGCTGGGATTCGGATCTGTCAGGGAACGAATTCAATTCAATCGGAATCGAACAGCAAGATAGATCATTAGAGTACTTAAGCATATGATACGGATCAAGTCCGACGCATACGGTCGCACGACAAATAGAAATGCCCAAGAGTGAACCCATCTCGATCCTCCGATAAGAAGAAATGGGGATCCTGTTTGTGCAAGGAATGTGAATGCAAAGTACCGCGAGTACCTGGTTCAGACCTGCCACACACGCTCATTGCAAAAAACTGTAATTCTAATACCTGTGAAAATTCGCAACCTTGTGTTTCCATCTGAACAACCAAGGGGTGCGTGATTCGAGGCGGGAAATCACAAACCAACATAGAATACGTAGAATGTGTTATCATCAGTGTTCCTGCTGTATGCCAAGTTGGTTTCATTCTCGAGTCACAACTGCTGTTCTCCATTATTGAGAGGATCAACCATCTTCTCCCCTTCAAAAATCCCATAAGAATAGAGTGCCGAGAGTGAGTGTGCCTAATCAATGACCCCTGAAACGTCTACTAGGAGTAACATGGAAGTTCTCTGTAAAGTACCAACTAGCGTAGCAAGCAAACCATCGCGCCAATGAAAAATTGGGTTACGCAGAGAATGATGAAGCGAGTTCTGTACAGCTTTACGTACGCTAGTCATTAGGCGCATCACGCGATAGTAGATCCCTGATCGATCTTGTCCGCGAATCGACGCAACATGTGGTGCCCGTACGTTACTTCGGAAGATGTTTGCTTGATAGCGCAAAAGAGACGTAATAATCGCGGTGGTGAATGTGTAGTGGGACAACAGCACCCATTCATAAAGTGATAGTGTAGTTCAGTGGTAGGTTAACTCTGAGCAAATGCAAACACGCAGGTACCCTAATTAAATTATTATGTACAGCGGTGCATCAGTAACGGAAATCACAAATAAATAATAGCGGTAAAACCTACCGGGAGGTATAACTTCATCTGCTTTGCCGTAAATGACTAAAGTAGGCAAACTAGTTTTGTGGCCGTAGGCTTCCTGGAACCGTGCAGAGGTACTGAGAAATGGAGCGATCAAAATTGAAAACTTTGGTCGAAACTCGCCGAGATCTAAGGATAATATATAGAGAGATAACTCTGAATGAAAGAGCGGAAGAGACCGGAGCAGAAGCAATGAAGCTGGAATTTGGTTACTGTAGATGGTAGGTGGTTGCGCAGCAAAACTCTATGCGCACGAACGTCTGAGGAAACAGCTCTCCCCCGCTCAGTTTTCACATTACTGAAATGCGCAGAATTCTTAGGGCATTATCCATTCAACGAGTGATTACATGTGCATTTTTGGTATCGCGTGCTAGTGATGCTACGCTCCATGAGCGGTTAGCGACTCACAGGGGGTTGGTTTGAGGTGCTTGTTGCGTGTGAATGGGATAATGACGTGTGATCCTAACCCAGCTAGAAAATAAAGTTGAAGTGAGTTCACGATCGGCTTTGTATTTGTGGGTCAATAATCGTACTAATACCTGAAACAAGTAAAACGTATCCGGGAAACCACAGGGCATAGAATTAGGTCTATAGTTTTGAATGCTTTGGCAGAGAAATCGCTCAAAGAGTAAGGATACACCACAACAGACGACGTCTTGATGGTAAAGCATTTGGAATCTGTGCATGTATTCTCCATGCTCACACTTCGTAGTAGTCACGACCCACAAGACAAGCAGTCTTTCGCTGTTCCTTTGAACTCCGATAACTAGGAGGTGGAGGTGGCTGACAAAGTCACTCATCCTGACGGATACAATGGCAACAATGATATGTGACCACTGAAATTAGTACTTATACTGAAAACGTTGGAGCTGTTGTGAAAATTCGCGATAGCCTAAGTGCCAGAGGTGAATACTTATGGCCAGTAATAGTAATGAAATATGTCCCCACAGATCTTAGCTGATCATTACTATCACTTCGTAGCAAGTAACAACAATGAATGCAAACAGGAGTGATCAGGTTAGTTACAGAGTACAGTATAACACAGATTTACAGTATAACAGTATAACACACCGGTTACATGGCACATATGTCTGTCTAACGTTAACTAAAGAGGACCAAGTTACCCTGCCGCGTCGAGGATGATGTAGGCTTGAGGGGAGAAGACAAACAAGTATCTGTTCAATCTCGGCCCGTAGCCGAAGGGATGAGCGGTATGTTCTGCAACCCGGAAGTTATCGGTTCGAGCTTGCGTATGTGCCGGTACACCACTAGTAGCGGTCACCTGACGCACCAAAGTACTGCAGATGTCTTCTCCTAAGCTGACGTGCTCCTGACCTTTATGTTTAGACGTTGTGACTATCAGGGAGGGGATTGCAACCGGTAGTCTTACCGCATATTCTGTTGTCTCCTAGTACAGTCACTTGTTTAAAGGCCAAGTGGTGGTAAGAGTGACTAGCGTAAGACAGTGAACGCCATGAGGAAGCAGTCATGCGACCGTTACCTTACTTGTATGTCACAGCTGACTGCTCCTGATCATGAAAGAAGTGAGCAACTGGAGTCTAGGTATTTTGCTGACTGAATTTAAACGGTACAGCTGTTCCTTAGAAGGGTCAAATTTCCTGCCCATTGCAAGATGACAGCGGAGCAACAAGACGAAGGAACGAGAGGTCTGTGATCGTGATGGTAAGTGTGCACTAAGACATAACCGGAATGGAAGAGAACAGTCCAAATCGATTGACCATTTTAAAATGACTTGCATGATTCGTGGTTGATCGAGAAATGATCAATCCACGTCCATGAGGTTAACGAACTGGAATAATCCTCTTTCCCAGTTGGTATCTTTAAGAAATTGATCGCTGCTGTTTATTCTGAAACATTTACCATGGATATACCAATTTTGTGGGAATATTTTGACGAATCCCCTAACTAAACTATTTCCAAGATCACTGAGAGCGCTTTACACATCACTGATACTTTGAGAAAAAATAGGTCGAGAAGTCGCGCACATTTCGTAATTTGCTATTTACAGCGAAATGAAACTAAGTGCTGAAATATGCTTCAGTAAAACTTCGCCGCGCTAACCGGATAAAAAGCCTGATAATTTTCCCCAGCGATGTGGGATCGCTGCTCGAAGATTCGGGTTCGTTTATTCAAGTGACATTTGTGTGCCCTTTTCCCAATTTATCTAGCTATTTTGGAAGTTTACAAATTTAATGATGCTGTATTAGTTCATCGGCAGTGCAGAATGCAAAGTGCCGAAAGGTACACATTCTAGATTAAAGGCATCAGTGTCGGAGATGGAATTCCCAATGAGAACAATCTTGTAAGCCAGGTCAAGGAGTTAAATCGGAAATGGGAAGCGCCAAACAAAACGCTATCCTGGGAGAAAACAGCAGGATAACATAATCTGTTTACAAAACTCCGTTGGGTAGTTTTGCTTACCATTTTTGAATAACCAAGTTAAGTTGGATTACGGCATAATAGTTAAGGTGTTTCTCACCTCCAGCTAACATAACGAATGGTGAGAATGACGTTTCGCCCCCCATATGTTGCGCAAAACTTCTACATGGGTCGGCCCGTTGGAAATCATCTTTTAGTTCTCAAACTGCATGAAATAAAATAATAAAAGTAAAGTGTCAGCTGTACGCCGTAACGGCGCTTCGCTGCCGTGCGGCCACCACCAGTTGCACGCGGACTGAGTATATCGCGAGGATGCCAACCCCTGCGTGAATCTGCATTAACGATGTATTTAGACCGCTTCGCTTCACGTTGTGTTTGTAATACTTCACTAATATAGGAGGATAAACAGATAACCCAAAACTTTATTACGAACCCGTCTGGAGTTGGTGCGTGTGCTATCCATGAGACAAGCACACAGGACAGTAGTATCTGAAGAAACTATACGACCCATATTCATGCAGGCCACAGGTGTTCTCGCTCAGAGTGCAATTGAATTGCCAACTTCCGAAACACCAAAAAAAGGTTTAGTGACAAGACACCACGGAAAGGTAAGCAAATAGGCTGCAAGGCCGGATTTCACCGAAATGTGCTGTCTTCATGCGGCAGTAAGCCTGGATCCAGCATACTGTAGCCGTATGGAGGTATTCCCGGTTTACCTGAACCCGTTGTGCAGAATTTTCACGAAAAGTACTAGTTCATTGTACACAGTTGTTTGTTGCGCGGTACTAGACCCCAAGCTGAGTTCGTTTCTAGGAATCAAACAACGCCCCTTGATGGGCGTCTCAGCCGATTTCCATCGCGTGGCCGCAACGTGTGTTGCGTCTCCAAACCAATAAAAATCCTCGGTGCCCTCCTTACAACCAGGAAAACATAAAACCTCTTTTACTGTACGAGACAAAAGATCGCCTGAAGACACTTGCTGTCAGGAATTGCAACTCTGTTTAACACTAAAATATCGATGATCGAGACTTCTTTCCGATACGACGCAGTCGAGGATCCGGTGGATGGAAGATGAGATCACGAGGCGTACAGCACAAGCTCGATGCCCTGTTGCCAATCTATGCCACTTGTGGTGCCGGCGCAACATCACTCGTCCTGAAAATCAGAATTTGCAATGCGGCCGTGGATTCAACCCTCCGGTACGGTTGCGAAACTGGCCTATCCAGGCAACAGACATAACGAGGCTAGTTACGTTCTATCATCGCTTCCTTCGCACCTTAGATCACATCTGGTGGGAACACCGAGTGATCAATGAGCGTGTTAGGCCTAGAGCATATGGTGCAGGAAGAGAGAGTAAACCGATCAGCGTCGTTATATTAGGCACCAGATTCCGATGGCTGAGCTACGTGTTGCTCATGCCAACACATTGACGCCCGCGATGTGCATTGCTCGTGCGACCAGTCTAGACAGAGAGTATGGGATGCCAAGCGATAACTTTGTCAAGAAGAATGAAAATCCGCATTCTAAAATTTGCGTCGGTTGGTGCTTTCCGAATGTCTGGATGCGTCCCAAGGATGACACACGTTTGGTTGGATACGACCGTTGAAATCGCAAGGAGACAAACTCAACGGCGTTTGCGGTATGCATTCACGCCCCACCTTTTTTAACTACCTCCTTCGACCACCTTCTCGTATTCCATGTGTAACTGATACTAAGTATTATATTACGTGATCATTTGGTTTTTCTTTTCTTTTCTTTAATTATTATAACCCTAATCTTAGCATTTTGCACTGCGGCACAATATCTGAGGTGTTAGTCACCTTTAGCTAAAGTGACGAGGATGATGATGAAGCGATGACGCAGTGGAGAAGGCAGGGCTCTCATTCTTAATAGTTAACTTTCGTTATGATGAACATGTGAGAAGCATTGCACATCGGTAAGTTAAGGAGGAGGAGGAGGACACAACCAGTGTGAATGACATAGAACGTGAACTAGAACGAGTCACGTTGACATTACAAGAGAATGGGTGTCCAGCGCGATTTATAGCTCGGCACGCGAAAATACGATCCGGCGATAAACCACCAACCGACGTCCCGAAGAAAAGGGTATTCATTACACTGCCGTTCAAAGGAGATCAAGTTGACCGAAGATGCCGGCATCGCCTCCGTCAATCAACTAAGAAGTGTTACCACGCGGCTGAGTTAGTGGTATTGCATCAAGTCAGAAGGTTGCTTTGTAAATCCAACCTGGACAGACCGGACTCCCAAGTTATCGCCTCATGCATTTACCTCTTTAATTGTACTTGGGGTAGCAAGTACATAGACCGAACTGAGAGTAGGCTGTCAGCGAGGATTGCAGAGCATGTTCCGCGAAACATGACTGCCGAGGGTCCGAAGCTACCGACTAGCTCTATTGCCCGCCACATACTTGACTGCCATGAATGCCAGAACCCACGTAGCAATTTCAGGGTAGTTAGCAAACAATCTAATCCCCGTTTACTACAGCTTGCGGAAGCGGCAGCAATTCGGCGGCTGAAGCCAAATCTGTGCAATTAAACGGATTTCGCGACTATGCTAGCTCTTCCCTGGTGAGTCTAGTGATTGCGTTTTCCTCGGAACGGGTCATGTGAGCCTAAAGACCTTGGACCGCTTTGAACCTTTTGCTCTTAACATCGCGCTGTTTTCCACTAACTGTGTGTAAACAGCTGATGATAATATGTAAAATTGCTGAATCCAGTAAATTCTGTTAAAATGTCGTTGCTTCTGGCTTTATTGAATTCGTGAAGGGAAATGCCTACATGAGACTCCGAAGGTAGTCGGAAGGTGCCAACAACGCAAAGTGGCAAAGTAGACAAGTAAGCATCTTGATGGACGCATGGAAGTGAAATAATAACCGGTTAAAAAAGGTAAGAGAACAGAAACCTTACCCAATAAATGATTTTCCAGCATAAGTTGCAAAATCAGAGCAAAAGCAGCACCTTGACTGAAAGCGAAAATTCCATCAAATGGACCCTGTAAAAGTGGTTCCAGAAAAGTTCATCATGCTAACCTCGTCAGAAATGAAGACCTTCAGAGCATCTACAGAGGTCTGGAAGCCGATGCTGTGGTTGCTGACATCTTTTGCGCTGAATTTCAAATCTGGATGTGAAAACCACCAGGCACTTCCTGATTGTCATTCTAACAAGTCTGCAAGTGCTTGGGCTCACCATCATCTTCTGGGATGTTGTTTGGGGCCGTGAGAAATGCTAACAAAGACAGATACAATCGACTTTAGTTAGACTGTTACCGAAATCGGCTTTCTTTTTCAGATGTTTTCGGAAAGCACCTGTCTTTTCGTAGAATGAATCAGCCGTTTGCCTGAAGCATCGTCAAAAGGAGAATGTTACCTGTATCCATGGAGACATAGGACCTGGGTGAAAGTAAGATAGTGTAGGAGAACTTACCTTGATCTTCCGCATAAAAGGAGTTAATTTGCTGTGAACGCAACGATAAAAACGCTAGAAGAAAGCATAAGTATGGTGCTTTAAGTGCAAGCATTCATGACACAGAGATTCCCTCAAATTCGGTGATAAGGGTGCTCACAGGCGCAACTATAAATATGATAAAAATTGTGCTGGAAAGACAAAACGGTAGAAAAACGGTAAATGAAAGCGGGGATGCGCAGTAATTACACGAAAGCAAGTTGCAATTAATTGATGGATCATGTGAGCTATGAACTGCCAGTGCGAGTATGTGGGACAATCAACCATGGAGCTAAATGTTCGGGAATGGCGAAATATCTCCCGATCAAACGAATACGCAGCAAACACAAATAAGGAATCTAATCTGTAGCGAAAAGGCAAAATACCCAAAAGAACTTGTACAAACATACCGCCGATTTTATATAGCTGCAGTAGGAGTTCCCAGTTTGTTTCACTTAATCAACAGGAGGCGAAAATTGAGGAGAATTGGAGAAGCTGACATAAATCGCGCTTCAGAACTGGTAACTAACAGTTCACAATAGGGCACATAATCCAGAAGGCGAATTGCGTCGAACACGACGAACTTATCGAGTAGTAGGGGGGATTGATTGCGTTCTTTTGGACAGAGCAGACGCGGTTAAACTGGCTGTGTCTAACTGGGAAGAACCTCAGAAAACATAATAAATCATTCCACTATTCCCTAAGAATAATAACCATCGTCATTACACGTTATTTAAAGGTGAGAAACAATAATGTGCCGTAATACAAAAAGAAGTGAAAAATCGAGATATAAAACAGAGAATATAATATTAAAAAATAAGTGGTATTATGAGCAATAATATCATAGCACGCAGCAGGTGCGAGGTCGTGATTGGAGCGGAAAGATAAGCTGGAAGGGGAAGGACACAGAAGTTCACAACACAAACACTACTGAGACTGAATCCTCGCCATGCCAACTAGTGTGTCCAACCAAGCGTGTTGATTGTTCTTAGGACTCGGGCCCAACAGTACGAATGTCAAGTTCGAAGTGAGTGTTTTGATTCCTCTTAACCTGCTTGGCTTCCCCTCTTCTTGCATCAATACCCTGATCGCGCAAACAGCACACGTCGAGGAAGTCGGTATGCTGGCGTGAGAAACACGTGCCAAGCCATCGGATTCTGGTGCCTGATATAATAATGCTGAGCGGTTCACTCGCTCTTCCTGAACCAAATACAAGACGCTGAACACGTTCATTGCGCACCAGCCATGAGCTAAGTTGCGAAGGCAGCGTTGGTCCAAGGTAGCTAGGCTCATTATGTGTGCCAATCTGATTGGCCGGGTTTCGCAAAGATGCAGTAGGGTTGAACGCATGGTTGCATTGTAAACGCTTCCCTTCAGAGCGTGAATAATGTCGCGCCGGAACCACAGGTAGTGAAGAATAGCAAAAGCATCTAGAATCTTTGCTATAACGCTCTGTTAGAACATCTACGATCCCACAGCTCCAATAAAGTGTGTTGGCAGTTGAAGTACTGGACGATTGCCATGAGTCAGTGCAGGAGTGGGTCTCTGTCATTTTTGGAAGACTTCGCATTGTGACGATGCAAAGCATAGCGTGAAACGAAGGAGAGAGAGAGAGCTAATTTACCCAGTGCTGCTTGGTACGTTTAGGAATTGTCACAGATAAGGGCAACATCGTCGGTCTAATTCAAGTCAAGAAAGTAGTCACGTACGAGAAGCCCCACACCTTGTGGGTCACTCTCAGTAAAGGCCGTTTCCAGTACTTTGTAGATGGCAAAATTAAAAAGAAAGAAGACAGTGGGCATCCCTGTCTCATACCACTGTAGATATTAAAGGGCGGTGACAGTTTTCCATAAGCCCTTACTCTGTCCAACTATGCGTGTACATAGCCCTTATCGAGTACACCCTTTCTGAGCAGCAATCCAAGCAGCATATTGATTCCCCGAATCGGTCGGCGAAGTGCTGTTGATCACGAAAAATCGACCAGCACATTGCGTACAAAAGCAATTAAGCCAACCAGTTAGATTGACGGGATTCTAATTAATCTACTGAGTTTTGTTTATAAATGTTTGTTTCACGTTTGTACTTTTGTATACTTCCACATATTGTGTTCGCAACTGACGAGAGTAATCAAAGTGTTAAGATACCGCGATTATTGTCTTCTTTCTGAGTCGATGAAGTGGCTAAACGGGACAAAACGTTGCACAGTTAGGAAACATCTGATTGATACAATCCGAACGTGGGAATCCCTTCGACAATTGAGATAATAACGGAGCAGTCCCAGTTAGTTGGCACAGCCTCTTGCACACAGCGAGTTACGAAAATCATACAAACATATGGAATTTGAACAGGGCTGGAGGTTTATCTGCTCCCATGGCTTTATACAATTTTAACAGTCGGATCTCATTTTCGACTTCGTGTGATAGCGAATATAAAGATACGGGCAAGCAATGTCCGAAAAAGGTGATAACTCAGGTTGATTAAAATGCTTCGCGACGAGATTGGACCCCGTCGCGACGAGAACGGACCATAACGTGGTGCGATGGTTTGTGTACCTCGTGGACTCATTGTGTTATCATAGGAGGGTCTCGTGGGTCCTCTAAAAGCTACTCCAACCAGGTTGGTCAATGGTCAGACGAACTCAATCTCGTGGTTATTCAGGTAAAGGGTTTGAAATGAAATGGTGTCTATTTCCGTAAAACCGAATCGCCGCTACGTCCGCCACTCTGAGGACAGCCTTTAGAGTGTAAGGCTTTGGTTGGTGACCATAATCATCCTCAATCTAGCTCTGGGGGCTATGGCAGTATGTCAGCCAACGTCATCATCATCATCATTATACAAGTCAGCTAGAGGTGGGAAAACACCTCCGCTATTGTACCGCAATACATAAAGGAAATGGTTGGCAGCATCCGGTTTCGGATTTGCCTGTCACTGTGGCAAGCCACAGGACGCCTGCGCCTACAGAGGGACCATGGATGGCTTGCGCTGCACCACCCACAGCTCCAACCATACACCTCATATCCAGTGTAAACCCGAAGGAATAAGACCGGGAGGCATGCGGATGGGAGCCACGTTTCATCAACGGAGCCGGCCCACACTCCTTCACAGGCAAACACAAGCACACTGTATTTGGGGAATCAAGCACACACAAGGCGGTGGCTGGACCGTAGTCCGCTCCATACTGAGTGCATGGAACCACTCTTCGAGCCTAACACGGCCACAAGGACCGTGCACCCCGTCCCCTCCAGCAACGACCAACTGTCTCCTGGAGCCAGTATGGACGACGTAGTGGGTAATAGACAGGTAGGCACCTTGTCAACATGCACATCAAGCGCATCCACACCGGGGATATCAAACAACAGCCAATCACGTGAGAGAGAGAGAGAGAGAAAGAAAAGGAGAAAAACTGGATTAATGCATAAGGAAACGGTGACATAAACCTTAATTAAATAGCATACGTAATAAGTTGTTTACAAACAAATCCTAGCTAAGTGCACGACGTCAGGAAGTATAGTTCACGGAATGCCACGAACACAAAAATGTTATGGAAATCGAATACAATTGGCTGAAGTGATGTGCGCAAGTTAATGGAATAGAGCACAGGGACATATTTATATGAGAAAGAAAAGCATTAAGGTAAAAACTGTAAACCCACCACCTGAAATAAAGATACTTAGCATGCAAGCACGCGGTTAGTAAATCGAATTCAGCGTGCCTACAAACGCTGCGCCAGCTCGTCGTAACTCTCTGCAGGACCCGTCGTCACTTCGGTAGTGGCCCCAAATGGCACAGCGAATTGCCCACTAGACATTTATATGAGAAAGAAAGGCATTAGGAGAGAACCGAAAACCCACCACCTGAAATAAAGAGACTTAGCATGCAAGCACGCGGTTAGTAAATCGAATTCAGCGTGCCTACAAACGCTGCGCCGGTGCTGCCTACGTTCACTGCGGGACCCGTCGTCGCTTCGGCAGTGGTCCCGAGTGACCTCTCTCATGGCTCACTAGGCCTGCCTGACTAAGGCACTCGCGACCGCATGTTCTACAGCACAATGCGCTCGATGTCGATGGAGTACAATCCATCGGTCCTTGCCGCTTCCGCACTTGCCGCTTCTTCTCTGCATGCATGAGGGCTTTCTCCCGCACCTCAGCAACTGCCTTCGTGATTAAATCGCGCCATGAACCACGATCAACCGCCTTCGATTCCCATGATCTGCAATCAAGATTAGAACGTGTGAGGCTCACTTTAATCATGTCCTGGTAACGTAACTTTGGTTTCCCAGCATGCCGCTTCCCTATACTCAGCTGACCGTATAAAAGTTGTTTCGGTATTCGCGTCGAATCCATACGGCTCACATGACCGAGCCATCTCAGGTGTCGCAGTAAAAGTATGCCGTCCACTGCATACATCCCACTTCGGCGCAACACTTCCGTGTCTGCAACTCTGGCGCCCCAGCCGATCCGCAAAATTCGTCGCAGACACTGCTGATGGAACCGCTCGAGATATCGCACATCCCACCGGTACATCGTCCACGTTTCACTGCCGTATAGAAGAACGGACAGTACCATGGATTTGTACACCATCAGCTTCGTGCCAATGTTAAGCTGATGGTTGTTCCACACTCGGTACTCTAGCTTCCCGAATGCCGCTGCCGCCTTCGACACGCGATTACGCAACTCAACGTGTAGCTGCTGATCAGTCGACATCACACTCCCTAGGTAGCAGAAGCGGGAGGTGGTTTCCAATACTTCAGCACCAATGCTGATTTGCGGCAATATTGAAGATTGCACCTCCGGTGAAGGCTGAAAGAGACAGACAGTTTTGCTTGTGTTGATGGTGAGCCCGAATTTGGCCGCTGTCGAAGCCAGAGCACTAGTCATGTGCTGCAACTCATCCGCGCTGTGTGAAAACAACGCACAGTCGTCAGCAAACAGCAACATACGGATAGTTGTCTCACAGACTAGAGTTCTCGCACCGAAACGACGGATGTTCAGCAACCCACCATCAATACGGTGCTCCACACGAACACCGTAAGCACAAGCCGCATCAAAAGCACAAGACAACATTGCATGAAGATAGATATTAAACAGGGCAGGAGCTAACACACAGCCTTGCTTCACACCAGAGACAACTGGAAAGTCATCAGAGGTCTCTCC